GAGATTAGCATGAAAAGTTCATGCTGTGTTCCGGCTGTCAGAACTTCGGGTCCCACAGAAGGGCGCTTCAAGTAGAATGAGCACAGAACAGTAAGCCCAGGAGGACATGATGGAAGATGGCGAAGGGGAAAAAGGCCTGGCTACCTTGAATACTTGATGTCAAGGTAGCAGTTTTTCCCCCTGATAATTTAGGTACCTTGCCAACCAAAGATGTGCATTTGAGTGTTTGCCATCAAAACCTGAGCTCGAATTATCACTCGAACGCCAAGTTTTATCCATTTTTTGCACTCTCTGTGAATTTTTCATTAAACTGATTGTGCAACTTTTGGCCGCGTTCATTCGCTCTTCGGCTCAGGCAAACTCGATGAGTTTTCGCAAAGTGGGTTCCCGCGTTACAACGCTATCCCGGGATAAGATGTGTGCGATTTTCGAATCTTTGATCGTCGAGCAGTTGGATAGAAAATTCGAGCACTATGAGTTCGTAACAAGAACCGATGATATGAATCCTGAAGAAACACCAGTAGCTGATATGCCTTAGACGGAGATAAGTGTGCAATGGCGTAGTAAAAAAGAAATTGCCTATCGCTAGTCTGAATAAGAGTCCGTGTGACCACTCATCATAGTACAAATAAGTAAACATAAATACATAAAATTCCATAGGTAATTAAATAATACATAATAAGGAAAAATACATAAGACATAAAGTAGGAAATATGTACACTATATACAGAAATTAAGTCAGACAGCGAGTCAGTTCAAATCAAATCAATCAAATCAACCAAAAGAAATCAAATCAAAACAAAACAAAGCTCAAGTAAGGGAGAGTGTTTACATAAGTAGGTTATAAAAATTGAATTAATTTAGATATCTTAGTATCGCAAGCGGCCGCTTGCTATTAATATCAAGTGAGTAATCATAGTGAGGCACAGGTATTGAACTATTGTTAATTCGCTCTTCCGACACTGTTGTAAGTTCAGATTGGAATTCTAATATTCCTCTTTTCTGCCTGTCAGAGTGGAATGCGACCCTATGTTCTATGGTAATTATTGCTCATCTGGATGAGTACTATCACCCCTCTTTATTTTTAAAATACAATTTAGAATCACCCTGTATATAGCCTTGTTCTAACATACGTATTTCTATAGAAAACCGGACATATTCTGAAATGCCATACCAGGTTTTTTTCCATATTTAGGTTCTAAGACTCAAATTGTGACAAAGTGCCAAGTTTTGTAAAAATCGCTCGAGAGATTTTTAAAATTTATCTCTCAAAATTTTACCTCCTCAATGGGAATTGAATTTGGTATATCTTTATTAGTATCTCTTTTTTTTTATTAAACTTATTTGATTTCTTCTTTCACAGTTTGGAACTTAAGTTCAGTCTAAATGAAATTCGCAGATATTTTCTGATTCATTTTTTTAAATTAATATTTTTTAGTAATTTTTATAATTGTTTCGAAAACTTTTTGAATAATAAAATGTTTACCATTAATTTAAAGAGATGTATTTTTAGGCATACTAACCAAAAAAATTGTTTTTTTATTCATATTTTCCCAAGGTATACGTGAATTTACATATTGGTGTTTTTTGATATCTGCCATATTTGTTATAAGCGATAATAACGCTCAATGTGGTTTAGGCGTTTTTTAAAAATTAGTTGAAACAGTGAACGATGCACTATTTTTTCCGCTTGTGCACAATGAAAAAAGCTAAAGGAAAGTACGTTACTAAAGAATTTCGCGAAGTGAATTATTCTTGGTGCAAACTGAAAAAAGAGCACCAAGATAAATTGTTAAACTTTTCGATAAGTTTCTCACAAAATTTTACAAAATTAAATATTTAAGTTTGATTTGAGTCTTAGAGGTGGGAAAAAATGGATATGTTATTTCAGAAATAGTCCGATTTTGTGGGAAAATACCTATGTTAGCACAATGATATATATAAATTTAATATATCCTAAGTCGCGCTTTATAAATGTAAAAAAGGAAATTAAATTTTGTCAATAGGCCAAGGTAGATAAAGAACTGTCTCTTTTTTTTCTTTTTATATCCAGAGTGTACATATGTACATTGTTCTTATGATTTATATTTTTATTTTATTTTTTGAAAATATATAGAACTTTTAGAATTGCCCCTAAATTATACAAATAGATATAAATGATAATTTTTATAAATGTTTGCACCATTAATATAATGCATGAATTATATTTATATTTATTTCGTATCGTTAGACAGAATAATCGTTTCAGAATGTCATCTAAAAAAACCGTTCGTTGAATTCTTGAAGAATTTAATTCCTTGAATCATCTTAGGGATATTTAATATTTCTTGCTTCGTTGGTATAATTCTTACGAATTGCTTGATAACCTAATCCCTTCACCTTTTTTTATTCTGCCTTTATTTTTGTGCGTATTTATCTATCTACCTACCTATATAAAAATATACTTACTTCAATAAAATAAAATAAGTGCTGCTTAGGAATAACTTAGGTGAGATGGAACAAATTAGGTGAAAAATAAACTTTTTCAATTGCTTAGAAACATGAAAAACAAATTATCGTGGTATTAGTTGGAAGCTGCTGAAGAAAAAACCGTTTGCGGGTTGCAGGCAAAAATTACAGAAAGTGTAGAAAATGTTTCATAGGTAATCCACACTTCAAGGATAAATTCTTGTACGAAATAACAGAGTGTGATATTTCCGTCATTTTTATGTAATGATTAGGCACCTTTTCCGAAAATTTAACTTGCGCATACGTCAAAAACAGTCTCCACTTTAGTTCAAAATTATATAAAAATGTATTTATAATTCTATAATTATATAATTTAACAGAACCGTATTTTCCAGCGTATAACGCCTCTATAATGGTAACACGGTTTGTAACGCGCCTCTATAATTTCAAGCTACACTTTTTAATTCTTAGGTATATTCGCCGTGTAACGCGCACACAATTCTTCATAAGAAACCTAAAAGATATATGTTCAATACTCTTATCTTTTGAGGTCACTTATTCCGACATTTGTCCTATCCTTTCGAACAATGGTAAACCGCACTGGCAAGCGATAAGAGGAGCAATATATGTATGGGTTAAATGCTTTAAGTAGTAAATATTCTTGCAGAGCGTAAATTGTATTCAATGCAGATGTCTAAAACAATGCTATTGTAGAGGACCTCCAACCTGAATGAATTGGTGGAATTATTTTGGATTTATTATTTATTATTCGTGGAATAATTTTGAAGTGAAAATCAAAGGCTTTAGTAAATCGTATTTGCTAAAGTTGAAATAGTGATCTACTGCTCTTTTTAGTAGTAAGTATGAATCCCGCGAAAAGAAACAATCACAGCGCTGGTTTCAAATGCAAAGCCACTCATTTTGCGAGAGAAAATGGAAATCTGCTGCAGCAAGGATGTTTGGTGTTGGTGAAAAATGGAACGGATAATGATTATTTATTTATGGATCAAAATAACAATAAACGTGGAGATGAAACCAAATTTAATAATACGCCAGACGATATGACTTAAGACGAACATGACGAATTTTTAATGTTATCCGATAATGAAAATGTTTAATTTCATAAGGTATGTCATTTCTTTTAAATAAGCATTCTGTTGCATGTAAAAAATCTAATTTTTCTTATGTTTCAGCCGTCATAATTATATCCGGCATATGACGCGCACCCGGAAATTTCGGTCCTATTTTTCTGCATTAAAAGTTAGTCGCCGGAATATACGGTACTTGTTTTATTGAATATACATCCTGTTCATAAAATTCAGTATATGGCCTTTATTTTCGCAACTCTGGTCATAGACGTGTACAATTGCGAAAATGTTTTAAATGGTACACCTTGCACAAACAAAAAGTAAGACAGTTCTATATGTGACGTTCTACTGGGCCGATTGACGAAATTTAATTTGCGTTTTTCATATCACGAAAGCACGACTTAGGATATTTATTACATTTATATATATCCTTGTTCTAAAATAGGTAATCTGATACAAAACCGGACTTTTTTTTTATTTTTTTTTTCATGTTTCGATTCTACAACTCAAATTACGCCGAAATATTAAATTCGTAATATTTGATGAAAATTATATTTTTCTTCTAATTTTTTATAAACCTATAAAATTATTTTAAATTATATTAACCTATTTTGCTTTCCCTTTTCTTCAATGTGCACGAGGGGAAAAAACGATCCATCGATCATTCTTTCAAATCATTTTAACAAAGTGAGGAAAGCACATTTGGCGTTGCTCATAAACAAATATGCCAGATTTCAAAACGCGCCAATATAAAAATTCACGAATATCTTGGGAAATTTTGAATAAAAACTCTTAAATGTTTCGAGGCATGCCTAGAAATTTAAAGTGATGTTAAAATTTTTATTGACTACAATTTAGAAATTTTTTGTAAAAATTTCTAAAAATTATTAAAAAATAAAAGTTTAAAAAAATTAGGTAATATCTGCGAATTTTATTTGGATATCTCGAACTGTGAAAGAAGGAATGAAGTAAGTTTAACAAAAAAAAATATTAGTAATTGCATACCAAATTCAAATATTAATAATTACATACCAAATTCAATTAAGATTGAGAAGCAAACATTTTAAAAGCTACTTTTTTTAAAACTATTATTATGATTTTTAAAGAACTTGGCAGTTTGTCATAATTTGTGTCGTAGCATCGAAATATGGAAAACAAATTGGTATGTCATTTCAGAGAAAGTTCGATTTTGTGTTAAATTCTTATGTTAAAACAATGTATAAATCTAATATATATTTCGCGCTTTCTACACATGAAAAACGCAAGTTGAATTTCGTCAATCACACTGTCCTCCCACACACTTTTTTTTTTTTCGGTGAAAGGCGTATATTTAAAAAAAAAATTTCCTACTCTTAAGTGCTAAAATTCAGAAAGGGCACTATTAAATTGTAATGTATATGTCATAGTGTATTCATTAATTATTTAATTTTTGACTGAATAAATAACTTTTGTTTTTCATTTTAGGTACAAGAACATCCTATCTCGCCCCTGACGATTAGTTACGTAATTTTCGTGGGTTCCATCCTTTCGCTGGCATCCTTATCAGTCTCCCTCTTCATATTCTGCTACTTCAAGTAAGTAGGTAGAACACCTTTAGTGATAAACTGTTTGACAAAAATATTAAAATTTGTCCTGCACGTGAGTGTGATTATGGTCATTGTGCGCAATCTGCCGCCGTGAAGATAAGTTTGCATCTATACCACAGTTGTTCCTTAGTTAGTAGGATGTAACTATATTTCACTTGTGTGTATTACTTTTCTTATAACAGAGAATATCGCTTAAATGGAAATGATGCTCTCAATTGTTAAAGTAATTGATGTAAGAAAAATAAACCTTAAGGCCTTCCACCTGCAATAAAACAAACATTTTATTTTAATTATGCAACTAAAGCCTCACAGAATATTACTTAGTTGGAACTTACGTATTACCGCAACGACCTAAGCAGAAACCGGTAAATTTTAAGAACACGCCAAATTCTGGCAACCATGCTCGTAACATTCCTTCAACTTTAATAAGCAACTTCGCCATTTTCCTGTACGTTCTTTTAGTTGCATTCTAATTGTTTTTATAAATAATCACATATAAATAATCATTACATTTTTTTTTCTTCTTAAATTCAGATTTAAAGTATATGTTTAAAGGATTTGTTTTCAGTGCAAGAAACTACAGTGACATTTTTGCAATAATACAGTATTTTCTAGTAAACTCACTAAAGGAAATAATAAATTTGTATCTTTTCCTAAAGGGATGGATCGCTATGAAATTTACATCAGATTAAAGAAAAAATAAACTCGGTTGTAAACTACTTTATTGGTCGATTTTCGGGATTAATACTTAGAGAAAATATACAGAGTGATCAAGCAATAAGCCCTGATTTCAAAATTAAATATCTCTACAACAAAGATCGATAGATTATACGGTAAACTGTACGTTCATTAGCAAAACTGTAAAAATGGTGTACAAAAGTTTAGAAAATTTAGTTACGAAAATCGTTAACAGATGGCGCTCTGCGCTGAAAAGAGTGAAAAAAAATTAAAAAAGTGAAGCAGCCTTTGATATCAAAATACAATTTTTTCAACATGGTCACCGTTCGAAACAATGAGGTGGCGAACAATGAAATTTGACATCACGTCTTGCAATGTCTCAACGGAAATGGAATCACATGCAACACCAATCAACGATTCAAGCTCATCTAGAATAGCAGGATTGTTTCGATAGACAGTGTCTTTTAATGCGCCCCACAGAAAGAAGTCACAAGGACTCAGAGCGGGAGAATATGGAGGCCAAGCTATTCCTGTGTCAGTAAATTGCGGATAATCTAACGCAATTACTCTAATCCCAAAGTATTCATGAAGAAAGCGAAAAACTTTATCTGTTCGATGTGGTCGAGCCCCATCTTGCATGAACGAGTCGATACCTGGTTGGTCCTCCAACGCTAGTTGAGTGCTGACAAATTGTTCTAAAACTGTAACGTAACATTCAGTAGTTATCGTTTCTCGTACGAAAAAGGGTTCGATAATGCCCCTGGCGCATACCGTAGCCCATGCAGTAACATTAGGCGAATGCAGTGCTTTTTTTTCACACGAATGAGAATTTTCGTAACCTCAAAATCTCCAGTTTTTTTTATTAACGATTCCATTCAAATGAAAATGTGCCTCATCTGTGAACCAAATGCAGCTCACATGAAATCTGTCGTTGTCGACCATTGTTGGAATCTGATTCCCAAAGACAGCCCTTTGTTGGGCAGCTTTCATGGGTATGCCCTTTGGATTTTTGTATGGAAACAGCCGTAGGCTATTTTTTAATACTTTTTGCGTGCTCGTGTACTTCAAACCTGTCTTTGACGCAATCCGTCGGATGCTTTTCCTAGGATTTTACTGAACAATTCCATAAACTTTGGCTGCATTTTCAAGAGTGACTACAGTTTGCCTAGGCCCAACATCAGCCACGCTGCCAGTCCGTTCGAATTTCGCGAAGAGCATGCGAGTGGGTATCGCATCGGGTTCAACTGGAACATTGAATCGGTTTTGAAAACTGCGACGTGTTGCCTTAGGACTGTGTTCTAATCGGTGAAATTCCAGAACCAAAGAAAACATGTTGTTCAATGGAATACATTATTTCACTTTCTACGCTAGCCTTTTTTCACTAGCCAACAGTCGTACTGATCACTTTCGAATTAGAAGCCCATTTTTAAAGGCTATTGATAGGTCATTGCGATTAGAGCGCCATCTGTTAACGACTTTCATAACGTAATTTTCTAAATTTTCTAAACTTTTCTACACCATTTTTACAGTTTTGCTAATAAACGTACAGTTTACCGCATAATTCTATCGATCTTTGTTGTAGAGATATTTAATTTTGAAATCAGGGCTTATTCGCTGATCACCCTGTATATAAATAATGTTATATATGTAGGTAATAAATCACTTTTAGCAGTCAAAAGTCATCCTTCTTTTTTCCGCTAAACTAAAAAATCGCTAAACTGCTCCAAGATGGTTACGCTAATATGTAAGTACTGCTTACGTTTTTCTCCCTACTCTTAACTCCAGCCATTCTTAAGTCCATAAAGACGTTACGCAAAACACCGTCCATATTAATTCGCGAATGGACAAATTGGATATTTATTGAAGTGAAAAATATGGTACCCGAAATTTTTCGTGATTACTGTACTTCCTTTACTTACAAGCAAATTAAAAACGTAAAAGTAGGTATATTTCTAAAACTGAATTTTATCAACGCTTCTCGTATCGGTATAGTTAGTATTCTTGGATAAGATTTTCTTCCTGCCCAATTTTGGATATATGCTTCCTGCCCAATTTAGGGTATTTGGGTCTATATTACCTACATTAAAAAATATAGACAAAAATTAGTCTGGAAATGGAGAAATTTACAGTTAGAGCACTTTTTTATCCTTAAAATTAATTTTTGAGAAATTTGTTTTTTTTTAGCCGAGGTGTTGAATATATATAATAGGGATGATAAGGTAATATCAATTATTCTGGTTATGAAAATTATTCGGTTTTGAAAACTGCGACGTGTTGCCTTAGGACTGTGTTCAAATCGGTGAAATTCCAGAACCAAAAAAACATGTTGTTAAATGGAATACATTATTTCACTTTCTACGCTAGCCTTTTTTCACTAGCCAACAGTTTTGAGTTGCGTTATTTCAAGATGTTATTGTAGAAGGCATAGGCACTGGGCACGTGATTCCTAACCAAGATGTTGATTGGTTAGAGCAAGAAAAGCTTGTATTGCCATAATTGCGATATTTTAAAATAATTGTACAACTATATACATAACAGACGCTTGGAATTATATACTAATATTCTCAGTTAGCGTACAAAATTAATATAATGAAGATGCTGATAATATAGAATTAATGAAAAATAAAAAACTTCATTATATGGACGTGGCTGCTGACAGCCAATACAAATGCAGTAAATAAAGTAAAATCTTGGCTAAATAACTCTTATACTTCAATAAAAGTTCAAAGTTCATAAATTTGAAGTAAAATCTTGGCTAAATAATAAAACGAAATAATGATGAATATTTACAGTTGAATATTTACAGAAGTCACCACCGAACATTGGGATGAATTGTTCGGGGCCGTTTATAAGTTTGATCAATGAGACAGTCGTAGTTGCCTATATTTTGTATGATATTTGAAGGATAGTATTGCATTTTATTGTAAAATTTGTATACTGGATTTAAGAATTTCTTCATCAATGGTGTTGATTTTTAAGTCTCTACGTAAGACTTCGTTTCTGACGAACCAGGGGGCACCCAGCATGGTCCTAATAATTTTATTTTGGATAACTTGGAGTTGGTTTCTATTTGTACGAGCAGCTGCTGCCCAGACAGGTGATCCGTACAGCATGACTGGCCTAATAAGTTGCAAATAAATAATTCTTTTAGTGTTGATGCTGAGTTTGGAATGACTGTTGATGATAGAATAAACACTCATGAAAGCCTGCATTGTTTTATTTTTTGTAGCTTGGAGGTGATCTTTAAAATTAAGCTTGTAGTCGAGGTAGATTCCGAGATATTTAACAGTGTATTCTCTATTTACAGGTTGATTATTTATGTAAAGTTGTTCACAGACCGGTGTTCTTGTGGTTCTTCTGAATATTATATTGTTACTTTTCTGTGGATTTATTTTAACTTTCCATTTTTGCAGCCAGTCAAGGATATTATCGACAGCATTTTGTAGCTTGTGCTGAGCATGTTGAGGGTTGATAGAAATTGAAAACATTGCTGTATCATCAACATATTGTGCAAGCTCGGGGCCTGGGTAGCTAGAAAAGACGTTTGTATAGATTATATATAAATACGGGGCCAAATTTCCTCCTTGAGAGACGCTAGCTTTTATTCTTCTTTTTGTAGAATAATCTTCGTTAATGCGTACTTGAAAGTATCTGTTTTGCAGGTAGTTGTGAATGATATTGATTAATGCAACAGGAAAGTTGTAGTTGATGAGCTTAAAGATGAGGCCTGTGTGCCAGACTTTATCAAACGCTTTCTCCATATCGAGGAAAAGAGCGGCTACTGTTTCCTTTTTATTAAAGGCTTCACCGATCTTCTCAACGATGCAGGAAACTTGATGAATATTTGAGTAGTTTTTCTTAAACCAAAATTGGAAAGGAGAGATGATATTATGATCTTAAGCATATTGCTGGAGTCGTTTTTGAATGATTTTTTCGAAAAGTTTTGAGATAGCCGGCAGGAGGGAGATGGGCCTATAGCTAGAGGTTAATTTTTTATCCTTTCCTGGTTTTTTGAGGATGATTATGGTAGCAAGTTTCCAGGCATTTGGAATATAATTTTTTCTTAGACATGCGTCGAAAAGGTTGACTAAGTAAATAATTGCTTTTTTAGGGAGATTTTGTATTGCAGTATTTGAGATTTTATCGTATCCACTGGCTTTTTGAGGATTAAGCTGCTTAATGATGAATGAAACTTCTGATGGAGTAGTAGGAGGATTTGCTGTGCTCCTATTGGTATTGAGAAAATTTTGCACTTGCTCTTTTATGTTGTTGTCTTCTGGATGCGTAATATTATTAATAGTGAATTGTTC